TTAAACCAGCTAAGACCATCTTAAACCAGCTAAAACCAGCTTAATCCAGCCAAGACCAGCTTAAACCAGCTAAGACCATCAAACCAAGTTTCTGACGGCTTCATCTTTAGGGGATCTTGGCTGTTGTGAAGGTGAGAATATCACATGTTGCAGATGTAATCATGGACTGGTGATTATGAATATGTTTGAAAGAGCAGCGCTTGGTTTAAGGCCAGCTAGTCGGACCCGAGCCGGTTTTTCTCCAACAGCTGCTGAGCTTCATGGGTCTCTAGTGTTTGTTTGCTGCATTTGGCTCGTTTTCATTTCTGTTAAAATATTTGATGTTATTTATGAACTATATGACTTGACAGAAAAACTTGTCTACATCCTTGATCGTTTTATTTAAAATAGTTTTTACCATATCTGTAGTTTTGCTACTAGCGTTTTTTATATTTTGAATTTATATTCATATATATATATATATGTGTGTCTGCACAGTTTTTATGAATTTTTATTTTTCTTAACTCGTTTTATTTCAAGTTAGATGAAAATGAGAAACGATGCCTTGGCAACTATCTAAAATAAAATAGGTTTATTGTTTTTTATTTTATTTAAAGTTTGATTTATTTCAAGTAACATGTTTTTATGCTTCTTTTAAGGATTAGTCGGTCACATACTCATATTGCACATCATATGAAAGTAAGGCTTTATTATAAAGCGGAGAGTTCCGGTGCTTGATTCTGATTGGCTGAGCTGTGTTCGAAGCTGTTGTAAATGACGCTACAAAGTAACACGCAGCTTTGTTTACGTCTGTGTGTTGCTCGGCAACCACTTTGTAGCAACCACAACTGTTTCTGAGGAGCTACATTGTTTGGTGGAAGAATACTGTTTATTAATATCATTACACTTTATTTGCTCTGTTTTATTTTGTGAAATCTTACTACGTATATGGAATAACCGTTTTATAAAAGTAGTAACCCCCGTGAAGCCGTGGTTTGCAGTGAATTTATAACAGCTAAGAGGGTTTTAGGCACTGTATTCACTGTAAACCACAGCTTCCACAGTGTGTGTGTGTGTGTGTGAGAGAGAGTGTGTGTGTGTGTGT